ACATTTCATTATTAGTTCATGAGACAGAATGGACAGATAAAACATGTTTCCTCTGTAGTACATGTACTTCATCACATTTCATTATTAGTTCATGAGACAGAATGGACAGATAAAACATGTTTCCTCTGTAGTACATGTACTTCATCACATTCCATTATTAGTTCATGAGACAGAATGGACAGATAAAACATGTTTCCTCTGTAGTACATGTACTTTATCACATTCCATTATTAGTTCATGAGATAAAACGTGTTTCCTTTGTACTACATGTACTTTATTACATTTCATTATTAGTTCATGAGACAGAATGGACAGATAAAACATGTTTCCTCTGTAGTACATGTACTTTATTACATTTCATTATTAGTAGTAGTACATGTACCTTATCATATTCCATTATTAGTTCATGAGACAGAATGGACAGATAAAACATATTTCCTCTGTAGTACCTGTACTTCATCACATTTCATTATTAGTTCATGAGACAGAATGGACAGATAAAACATGTTTCCTCTGTAGTACATGTACTTTATTTGAAACCTACCTTAATTTCGTGTAACCTGTCCAACACTTGAATGAGTCCACATTATTTTATTTAGCAGCTGCGTCATAGTACCACGCTTGTGATGTCATAATGGACAGAAGTGTGCCTTGGTCATTGTGGAATTCTAGATATGTCCGTCCTTTAACTTTTTCACTACGAGTTTGAAATTTCTTATAAGTAATGAAATATTAAAACACACTTTTTGTCTGTCATAAAACGAACGTGGTTTTATGAAAGTTGTTTGTTTATAAACTTGGTGTGGTATTTCCAGGAAACTGTTTTTTTCAACAGATTCGGCAGAACCAGCAAAAATAACGAAATGATCGAGCAGAAAGTGTAGTACAGAGTTCAAGTCTTGGTTTTTACTAAGTTGTGAGAAAGAAACAAACTGAACAAAACGTGAAACAATCTATATTTAACACTTCCATCTCAATCAAGTAATAACTTTAAAAGTTCACTAATAATCGAGGTAGAAAGTACTAGTATAACGGTCTACTACAGCGGCAGTGAAAGAGTTAAGCTACGTCACTTCCGTTAACCAGCTGATCTTGTGTCATAGATGATCCCAGTATATTATAGAAGACTTTGGAGTTAGCTTACTACAAACTATTGTCTCCACATGTACCACAGTCCACAGAGGGCAATCCCAATAAGGTTATTTTCCTGCAGCATGAAACCATAATTATTGAAACAAATTACCGTCAATGTGGCAGATAAAATATAATATTTTGCTTTGATTAATGACACATAACATTCATGATTACTTATCTGCTGCAACTGAAACCATTTTTCTGTCCTTTCAAAATTTGTTCAGTGGCCGATTTAAGGAGGAGGCAACTTACGCCAATCTGATACGGGTCTGGCGTCCTCTTTTCAAGATTCATGTTTCTTTCTCCTTATGAATAAGAAATGATTTATTAACTTTTATCAAAACGTAGCACACAGGTTTCACGGCTGCGTTTATACTGGATTTTTACGGCAAAATATCGAATATCCAGGCAACCTATCCATCTGTATGGAATGAATTACACAAGCAATATCTTATTATAAAGCCTGTAAAAGAGTATTTGTGTCGCCATGTTCCTCAGTCGCTCCCTTGTGCAACTATTGCGAGGTTCTGAACGGCGAACCTGGGATGGTTGTGCATGGTACCAATGGCGGAACGGTCATTATGGAAAGGAAGATTAGGAATCGGAAAATTAAATTGAGGTCAAGTATACAAGCACGCAGCTTAGTAAAAAATGTGTAAAAAGATCTACAGTTGAACCTTACATGTTAGTAAGTTTACACGTGGAATAAGCTGCTCTACTGCTGATCGATACTATGACAGGCTTGGGAGCTAATATGCGATTTATTCTTTTCTATACGGTGACGGGGGCATCCCCAATACAAACTGTTCCTCCTTTCAGATTTGCTCTGGATCCGCCACCGATGCAGTTAGCCATTTTAGGACCATTAATAACGCCCATTCTTCTTTATTACTAGTATACACTGATAATCAGCAGAAAAGTTCACAGCATCTGAAAAACGCACCTTCAGAAATGCTCTGCAAAGTAATATTTCAAACGCGAGCAGCAAAGGAAAGGCAAGTGCACAACTGAACGGTTTCTATTGGTTGAATTTAAACTGCCTGCCAAGGCTGGAGAGAGGCTTACCAAAACGCCTGCACTAGACAGAGACTGGAAGAATTATTTATACGATACTACACTTTAGAGTCAGACCAAGGATCGGAGTACAGAGTACTCTATCATGTAATTCACAGGTTATCTACGTCCATAAGTATTCCAAATAACATTGAAAGGAGAGGAACCCATGCCATACCAACTTTAGCAAGTACATGCCACTCCTTGAAATGGGATTGTCCCACCACAGGAAATAGGCAAAGACACATGGTCAACCTGGTAAAAACCTTTGTGCAATAGTCATTGTCGTATGTAGGTTTAGTATGCGTTTACGTTCTTCCGACGTCCAGTTTAAAAGCATGTCATAAGTACATGCAGAAAACGTGTAGGAAATTTAGAAAAAAGTACCTTACTCAAGATATATTCTAAACTTATTACAGAAGGATGAAATTACCAGCTACTTCAACTTTGATATTTCTATAAACTCATCACTGTCTAAAATTAGGTAGTAAAACATCACCTAAAAATTCTTTTACGCTTAGATGCTGTAGTGCAACGTTTCCCAACCCTTTCTTTAATATTTCCTCCTCCCCCCCAATCTGAATGACATTTCTAACAACGTCCACAACAGAGGGTTGTTCATCTGTGCAAAAAAAAAGTCACTTTGTTCGTTAAGTTATTCTCAACTATCGTTTCATTGTGTTGCTTATCATTTCTCGTTCCAGCAGTACAAACATGAGTAAATATATAAACAAAGAACTTGTTCATTTTCTCACCTTCTCTTTAAAATTTTAGTCGTTTTGGGCATTATTTCAAGGCTGTTCTAAAATTTACCGCCCACTCCTATTTCAGCGACTTCCCCACCCCCGCCTTCCTTGAGACGAATGAATGCGCACACATTTGTCTGTGATGAATGTGAGTGAGAGAGAACGAGGATAGAGAGATCAAGCTCTGGAAACTTTACATTTTATGTATAGTATGGGTCGATGAAACTTTACATTTTATGTATAGTATGGGTCGATGATACTTTACATTTTATGTATAGTATGGGTCGATGATACTTTACATTTTATGTATAGTATGGGTCG